TAATATTACTGGCGTCAGCGCGGGGTCCGGGGCTCCCCAGTGACACCTGGCGAGTGAGGGGGACGGAGAGAACGGGCACCTCGCGGTCCAGGGGTATGTGGACCCGGCAGCCGGCCCAGCCCAGGAGGGACCCGAGAAGAGGAGCGGTGGGGACGGACATCACCGACCCTCCACACGGAGAGGCTCCCAAGGAAACCAGGCGAGGGGGCAAGGGCGCCGAAGCCAAGGCCCGAACTCCAGGGATGCAGCTAGCGGCTGCTCAGGGTACGCTTTCACTCGTCCAGGGTGGCCTGTCTGGTGGGGTTACGCGAAACGTCTAGAATTTCTTGCAGATAACGGCTTGCAGAGTCTGCGGGAAGCCACGCGCAGAATACGGTATATTCACCGAGTCGGATCATCAGTCGGCCTTGGATTCAGCAAAAGCGTCAGGGACCCAGACCTGCAGCCCGTGGGTAGGGAGACAAGCAGACGGACTGGGACATGACGAGCATCTGCTGTACCGGACCAGGAGCCTCATGATGCGAGAAAGCACGCGTGATGGTCCAGATCACTATCTGTTACGTCTGCAGACGAGGAGGAGGAAAGATCCAGGGATGCCATACAGAGGCGGCTCAACTTCCTCCCCCTCATGGCCCTCAGAGGCGACAGCGCACCCGCATTTTCCAGGCGAGGTGGACGAGCATGCCACTCCCGAGGAACGCAACATCTTCATCACATAGTGCTGGCAACAACTACGAGTGCTTGCTGACACCGTCGTGCTCGCAGAACGTTCGGGGGAGACGGCCTTACGAGGAGAGGAGCCGATATGGACAGGAGGTGCGAGGCGGGAATTGATCCATGTCCACTGCCTGGGAACCGACGTCCTGGTGCCCAGCGGGCGGTGGATGTGGATATGTTTTGGCCCCCAGGGGTGTCCATATCCACCGCCTGCCGAGGTCCCCGAAAGTTGATCCTCCAGGCGATGGCCATGTGCAAACTCCCGCCTCGGAGGAGGACCGTGGCAGCAACAACTGGCGCAGGGGGCGTCCAGATGCCCCGGAAGGGCTCTGGGCGCTTCCCCCGCCTGCCCCGAGGGAGGGCGACGGCGAAAAGAGCAGATGGTCAGGAGGCACATTCGGCGGCTCGCACGAGGGGGTATGGGGGAGGGGGGGGAAGGCTTCTTCGAAGGCTCCTCCTCCTCCTCCTCCTCCTCCTCCTCCTCCTCCTCCTCCTCCTCCTCCTCCTCCTCCCCCTCCTCCTGGGGTCCACGCATCGAAAACATTGGAGCGACCTTGGTAGGGGGAGGGGGGGAAGGCTTCTTAGAAGGAGCCTGCTTCTTAGAAGGCGCCGGCCCTACATCTATAGACAAGGCCCGCGCCTGCTAAGAAGCAGGGGTGCTTCTAAGGAGCCTTCACCCCTCCCCTTAACCTCACTCCGCGAGTGGCTAATACATCTCCGAAGGAACACATCGAGGACGGCACAGCCACACCAACGAGGGCCCCCGTGCATGTGAGACTACGGAAGGCACCTCAACCACAAGTTGAGCCACAGCAGATTCCGGGCCTTGCCATCATGCAGAAGCAGCTATCCGAATTGGCCGTGGACCTATCAACGTATCAGAAGACAGTCGACGCCAGCGTCCATGCGATCAGCGCTCAGGTCGAGGCAGTGAACAACAACACACGACTCGCTGATCATGGCTCTTACTACCCCGTCTACGGCTGCATCAACTGCGTCATCGACATCATCTTCGGCAGCAGCATCGACAACATCTCCAATCATCGCGGCCGCGACAGCAGCACCGCAGCAAGCTCAGGCTCAATGTTCTGCGCACCAGCAGAGGTCAGCGAATGCAACTGCACCGAAGAGAGCCACAGAGCCGGTGTCCCACAGACGAGGTGCTACAGCTCCACAGCAGGACGCGCACCAGACGAGGACCTCGCGCAGCCCGAAGCGAGGGAGGCCTTCGGGTGTCGCCGTTGCCAGAGCGGCGGGGCTGCCCGCGGGTGCAGAGTATTCCAGCAGATGGCACCTCCCCAGAGGAAGACGAATCTACGTTGCCCAGGGAGGGGTAGCCACAGCCTCAGCTTCGGTTACTGCGGGCGACCCCGATCGAAACAAAGTTTCGTACTCTTTCTATGTCAGATCGCAGTTCGTTCGGAATCCTGATCTGGCGAACGCAATGTTCCAACCTTGGAACTGCAACGATTATCCCGACTGGCGAAAGCAAGACTGTTTGTTGCCGGAATGCACCCTGGTTTTTGCCGGGATGTTCCTGTGCTCTCGCTGTCAATCTGGAGGGGCAGTCTCACTGCTTCGCCGACCTGGCATGATTTTATTCAAGTAATGACTACGATATCGATAAGACCGAGTTGAGCCTGGTCTCGGAGATGCTTGCGCTTATTTGGGCGATGTCCTGGGGTATGCAGTCTCAGTTCCAGACTGTCGAGTTCTGGGTCCACCTCGACAACCTCGTTGAAGCGCATGCTGCGCAGGGGTTTGGGGGCATCCAGCCGCTTTCTGTCTTGTGAGGTGCTTTCAGGTGCATGTTCCACACGTGCATACGCGCACACAACATCATGTTAACCGATAGCTGGATACATAAACAGCTTGCAAGCATGGGTATCATTCATACACCGTCTCATTGCCCATGGCCCCCTATCATTGAAGAGCCCCTCTCGGCGCAATGGGACTGGCTGGCTCTCGCCTGATGAAATTCGGCGGCAGTCCCGGGCAATGATGGAGCGGCGATTATCATGAGCCCGCTAGTCCCGAAAAGCTGCCCGCCAAGCTCACGACGCGTTGGGCATGTGCCGGACCTGTTCAACGCAGAGGGCTCGCAGCCGCAAGCTGAGTCCGCTCGTCTTAACGTGCACCTTAGCACTCACGCTGCAGCAGAAGTCCTCGGGTAAGACGTACGGAAGCATATTCGTCTCAGGTAGGTATCGGGCAGGTTTCCTAGGTTAGCATTATGCGCCGCGCGGACCTGGGCGCCAATCTGGCCCCCGCGGGTGCTCTGCATGGCGTAGGTCATAGAAGGCAGCCGTGCTAGACATGCAGGACACATGTATAACTAGACAAAAACTTGCTGTTGCATCAGCATCGCCGACCTGATTGGCGGTCATCTTGTTTGCCGCCTTTCTGCGCATCACTTTTTCCGTTGCCCACGCGCCGCGTCCGGGGCCTTCGGAAACTATATCAAGGATATGTGAAAAACTGCCGCCACCACTTTGAAACGAGTGGCTGCAGAGGCCTTTTTTCCTTTCCCCACGATTGATACTGACGCTGCAGCTGGTGCAACGGTCTCGGGGTCTGTAGGGAGAGTCGGGACGGAGGCAGAGTCGTTCTGTGGTACTTACCTTCGCGGAGTGCTGAGAGTGCGAGGCTTGTGCTTGCCATCTACCTTCATTGGGCCCTCTGTGGGTCACCTGGTTCAAGCTCCTCCCAGCGGTTTTTCCCCCCCGCGTAAGCGACTGCGTCGCTGTCCCCAGGCAGTGCTGAAGTCATGCTTCTGGGTCCTGGGTCAACAGGGATGTGGGGCTCACTGTTTCGCGGCCTGGTCTCGCACCTGCCTCCCCTCGGTGCCGTCTCACAAATTGTGACAAATTGTCTGTCTGTCTGTCTCGGTGCCTGCGCCTCCATTTCGGGTTGGGCAATGGGCCGGCGTCTCACTGGCCGCAGCCAGGTCGGAAACTGCTTCGAGACCCTGGCTGCATCCGCGTTCTTTTCCGAACGCATGTGGCAGTGCCCTCTTCCGTCTTGGGCTGCGCCGCCGACGGGGCATTGCACCGCCATTGCCCAGCATGCGCCGGATGGCATGGGCGGGTTATGTGTTAATGGCAAGGCGAGTGGCAGCGCTTAGCTGGATCAAGGCCGTTCGCTTGCGTCGCCGTGGCACTCGTCAGATTCGATCGTCGGTCGCCGTGGCGCTTAGCTGTCTGCGCCAGTCAGGGCACGGGGTGCGCACGCCGAGCCAGCTCCGAGGATGGGCCCCCGGGGCCCAGTTCCCGCTGCTCGCTGCTGCAGACAGGGCGAGGAAGCGGGCGCGTTCGGACGCTTCTGGCGTAGAGGCCACTGCGGGGAAACCCTTGGGCGGATTGGCTCTGTTGTGTGGCCTTCTTCATTCTCATGTTCAAGCTTTTCCCTTCTTGCTCCGTCAACCTCTAAGCTCAGCAGCACATCACATGCGCAATCCCGACAAGATGTGGATCAAGCTCTGCATGTACTAATCGACTTTTTGTGGTCGTCAAAGGAGTTCGGTGGCGCGTTCTCTTCCCTCGGGAGGTTAGGGGCAGCAGGCAACTGGCGTCGCCCAGTTAGGCTTCTTCCTGCAGTTGAAGACCCAGACGGCGAGCTGGCCCCATCGGCGCATTTGGCCGACGAGTTTGGGCTGGAACGTTGTTCGGCACATGCAATGGCCGCCAAGCTTTCGTCATCCCTTTTCCATGCATGCGTTTTGCGACAGATGTGCGCTCCGTCAGGATGCGCGCCAGCATGCGCGACGCAAGGCTTCGTGGCAGGATCTTCATAGAAAGCTTAGCTCTACAAAGACTAGCGATGGCGGGGCTGCGAGGTCACGTGGCATGTTTGTTCGCGCCCATGCGAGTCAATTGGCATTCGCCTGCCGCCCGCTGCGAAGTGGGCTCGCTCAGATCGGAAACCCTACAACCGAAAGAAGCGGGCCTCCCAAGGACCCCCGAGGCCATGGGCAACATGTACCCAGCGGTGGCATCGAGATCCAATTATGTTGGCGCCACGTGCTGGTAAGGAATCCCATGCGCGTCTTAGACGCGCGCTCGTGGCGATGCAGTCTGCTTTCGGCGCCCGCCAGTCTGTCCTCCTCCTCCTCCTCCTCCTCCTCCTCCTCCTCCTCCTCCTCCTCCTCCTCTCTCCCACCTCCTCCAACACATGTCCCCCATGGGGTTCCACAGCAGGCTTGGGGAACGCATGGTCCAATAGCGTTGCCAAATTTTGCCCAACCGTTTGGCCACACAGGCGCTTCCAGACGGGCAGGCTGCAGCCGTGATTCGCCATGTGCGTCGTCGCAACAAGCTGACCTCGACAACCGAGAAACCTTCCATGTGACACCGATGGGACTTTGGTCAACGGCCCGAGAACGGTGGCGGGATAGGCCGAACACCACCATATCCGCCGCCCCCTGCTTGCAGGGGTGCACGGCGTGCTGGACGTTTCAGGTTTTGGTTTTGGTTCTTTCAATGGGCTCCGGCAGAAACCGCCGGCCACCCGGAAGGTGCTCAACGACCGGAAACAATCCTCCAAAAACGGCCGTTTCGCTCGGGACATCCTCAAAAAATCGCGAAGATGGCCCAAGATGGCCTCCAAGTCCGCCCGAGATGGTCCAAGACGGCCTCCAAAACGGCCCAAGAGAGTCCAAGACGGCCCAAGACGGCCCAAGAGGCCCCCCAGAGGCCTCCCAGACGGCCCAAGAGGCCTCCAAGAGGTCCTCCAGGAGAGTCCGAAGAGGCCAAAATCATTGATTTTCCATTGGTTTTTGAAGGATTTTGGCATTTGCGCCTTTTCGGCTCTCCGACGGCTCAAGACGGCCCAAGAAGCCCCCAAGATCGCCCAAGAGGCCCCCAAGAGAGCCCCCTGATGGCCCAAGTGGCCTCCAAGATGGCCCCTAGAGGGCCCCAAGACGGCCCAAGAGGCCTCCAACACGCCCAAGATGGCCTCCAAGACGCCCAAGATGGCCTCCAAGACGGCCCTGGAGCGCCCCAAGAGGGTCCCCCGTTGGCCCAGAAAGGCCCCCAAAACGGCTCCCGACGGCGTCAGACGTGCCAGGAACCCACCAAGATGGCCGAAGTTGGCTCGAAGCTGGCCCAAAAGGGCCCAAGAGGCCCCCAAGAGGGCCTCCAGGAAGGCCAAAAGATGCCAAAATCACTGATTTTCCCAAGGTTTTTGATGGATTTGGGCATTTCCCTTTTTTCGGCCTTCCGACGGCCCGAGACGGCCCAAGAGCCCCCAAAGATCGCCGAAAGATCGCCCAAGAGGCCTCCAAGACGGCGACGATGACCATCAAGACGCCCACGTGTTCCCCGAAGGCTTTCCAAACCGATTCGGGGAACACATGGTCCGATGGCTTGGCAGGTCTGGCCTCAACGTTCGGCCACATAGGCGCTTCCACAAAGGCAGGGGGCGGCGGTGATTCGCCGTAGGCGTCTTCGATCCGCCGCCCCCTGCTTGCAGGGGTGCACGGCGTGCTGGACGTTTCAGGTTTTGGTTTTGGTTCTTTTTCCAAAAGAACTTCCCAGTGGGCTCCGGCAGAACCCGCCGGCCACCCGGAATTTCCCCAAACGTGCTCAACGACCGCAAAAAATCCTCCAAAAACGGCCGTTTCGCTCGGGACATCCTCAAAAAATCGCGAAGATGGCCCAAGATGGCCTCCAAGTCCGCCCGAGATGGTCCAAGACGGCCTCCAAAACGGCCCAAGAGAGTCCAAGACGGCCCAAGACGGCCCAAGAGGCCCCCCAGAGGCCTCCCAGACGGCCCAAGAGGCCTCCAAGAGGTCCTCCAGGAGAGTCCGAAGAGGCCAAAATCATTGATTTTCCATTGGTTTTTGAAGGATTTTGGCATTTGCGCCTTTTCGGCTCTCCGACGGCTCAAGACGGCCCAAGAAGCCCCCAAGATCGCCCAAGAGGCCCCCAAGAGAGCCCCATGATGGCCCAAGTGGCCTCCAAGATGGCCCCTAGAGGGCCCCAAGAGGGCCCAAGAGGCCTCCAACACGCCCAAGATGGCCTCCAAAGACGCCCAAGATGGCCTCCAAGACGGCCCTGGAGCATTCCAAGCGGGCCCCAAGTCGGCCCATAGAGGCCCCCCAAACGGCTTCCGACGGCTTCAGACGTGCCAGGAACCCACCAAGATGGCCGAAGTTGGCTCGAAGCTGGCCCGAGACGGCCCAAAAAGCCCCAAAGATCGCCCAAAGCTTGCCCAAGAGGCCTCCAAGACGGCCAAGATGACCTTCAAGATGCCCACGTGTTCCCCGAAGGCTTTCCAAACCGATTCGGGGAACACGTGGTCCGATAGCTTGGCAGGTCTGGCCTCAACGTTCGGCCACATAGGCGCTTCCAAAAAGGCAGGGGGCGGCGGTGATTCGCCGTAGGCGTCTTCGATACAATCTTCCGTCCACGCACAGCACGCCGATCTCGACAACCTTCATGTACCGGCCGTCCTTGCCGTACACCAGCCAGCTCTTGCGGCCCGCCGTGGCCGCGTGCCTGAGGTTCTCGTAGACCCGGGTGTCCCGAGCCCGCAGGCACCTCTTGAGGAAGGAACGTGAAGCACGAACGCAAAGAGAAGAAGTAAAAACACCATAAACATAAAATTTTGACGGTCCGCGCGGATCTCGGATCTGCGCTGGAGCCCCCTCCCCAGCGCGCGGAGCGCGCCAGGGGCGGCGCCGGAGGCGCCGCCGAGGCGGCCCGGCGCGGATCCAGGAAATCCGCGCGGAGCGCCAACAGCTTATATGTATGCTTTATGCCGTTCTGTCTTCCTCGAAGGAACGCAGACGCTCGGACCCCCTGCGCGGAGCTCCGAGGGCTCCTGTTTGTGCCGGCCTTTCTTCTTCGGGCCTCGTGCCGAAGTGGACGCAGGCGCCCCCGACCGAGCCCCCGGTGACGCCCACGTCGCGGGCGTCGGAGCCCTCCGCGAGGAACGTCCCGGGCTCGGCGAGGGCGACGAAGCCCTCCTGCCGAAAGGGAGGAGACCGAGAACGGGACAAGACAGGTCCGCATCTGGCCACGTCGGGGACCTCTGAGACCTGGCTGCGGGTGGGTGGGAGAAGAAATGGCATGAGCATGAACTTTTTTTGCGCTCCGCGCGGGTTTCTCGGATCCGCGCTGGAGCCCTCTGCCTGGCGAGCGGAGCGCGCCAAGGGCGGCGCCGGAGGCGCCGCCGGGGGGCCCAGCGCGGATCCGAGAAACCCGCGCGGAGCGCAAAAAAAGTTCATGCTCATGCCGTTTCTTCCCCCACCCACCCGCAGCCAGGTCTCAGATGTCCCCGACGTGGCCAGATGCGGACCCGTGTCTTGTCCCGTTCTTGTCCCAAGAAATCCGCGCGGAACGCCAAACAGTTTATGTTTCTGACGGTTTTTCTTCTTCGATGAGATCTGGCGTCTCTGGAGGATGTGCTGAGCGCCGCGCGACCCTCTCCCGCCCAGCCCAGCCCAGCCCAGCTCCATGCGGGATCTGCCCTCAGACAACAATAACAACAACAATAATTTTAAGACTGTTAGCTCTTATCTGCTCGCGTGTCATTCAATATGCATATCTCAAACCATAGATTCCTGCCCTCTTTGTCTTCGATCGTACCCCCTTTTGAGGGGTATATTCATTCCCTGCCACGTGTGGTTGGTGAAGCCCTTGAAAACGAAGGGTAACAGATAACGGGGGAGAATGAGAGCGAAGGGATCGGAGGAAGGGAGGGGAGAGGCAAGAAGGAGCGAGGACGATGATTTGCGCTGTGAGTGGCGATTCAGCTTGCGCAAGTTGCGAGGAAGCTGCGAGGAAGTCCCAAGCGAGAGCGCGATTCTTCAATACATTGTGAGGAAGTATCAAGCGGGAGCCGCGATCCGGTGGTAAATTGCAAGGAAGTCCCAAGCGAGAGCGCGATTCTTCAACAATTTGCAAGCGGGAACAGTTGTTGTTGTAAACCGGGGGCCAACAACGCAGTTCGACCCGCAAGACTTTCCCTGATAAAAAACAGGGCGCGAGCCCTGGGAAGGGCACTTCAATAAAAAAACAATGTGCACCGGATGAGGGGGATCAACAATACTTATTCTTCAGAAATGAGAGTTCAACAACAGCAACAATCAGTTTAAGACTGTTCGTTCTTACTGGCACGCGCGTCTTGCATTCCGTATACCCCAACCCTCGATACCCGCCCACTTCGTCTTCGATTGCACCCCCTTTCGGGGGGAGTATCTGCCTTGTCGGCCACTGCCTGAAGTGCGAAGAAATCTCGAGCAAGAGCGCCGTTCATGAGTTCGGGGGCCTTCCTGGCCAAGGGCTCTCGGAGTAAATCGTGAGGAAGTATCGAGCAGGAGCCCTTGTCGTCGTGGCTGGGCCTCCGCCAACTTAATCCCACCAGCTCTCTGGGCGTAGGTGGTTTAGGGAGTTTCCTCTTCCAACCTCCTCCGTCCCCTTCGGGGAGGGGTTTACCCCTCCCCTTACCCACCCCCCTGGATCTGGACGGAGGGTTTCGCGACGCGTAGGAGCGTCCAAAACGGCCTCGGCGAGGAAGCCAAAATCATTCCCAACCATCCTGTGGTGTTGGGTCCTCGTTTTGAAGAGACGGTCCCCGCGTTCCTCTCCTCTTCTCCTCCTCTTCCCCCCCCTTTTCCCCCTCCTCGTTTCTCCCTGCGTTTCACCGACCCAGTACAGCGCTTGATGGCACCATAGGGGGCTCCACCGAAGGTCCCAGTGGCACCGCCCGCATGCGTCCGCCACCACCCAGCACAGCCTTTTTCTCCCTGCGTTTCACCCACCCAGTACAGCGCTTCGTGGCCCCATAGGGAGCTCCACGGAAGGTCCCAGCGACACCGCCCGCATGCGTCCGCCACTACCCAGCGCGGCCCTTGCTCCCTGCGCTTCACTGACCCAGTACACGCCGGTCGGAAGAAATAGGTAAAAACATGAAGTAGGAAGGCGGAAGAAGTAGATTGCGTTCGAGGCCGCCCCCCAAAAAAACATCAACAACAATTACAAGAAGTAGATTGCAAATCTTCCGGGCCCTGTCTCAGCGGCACGCAATTGCCCTGGGTCGATCGGACCCTCGACCAAGCAGCGGCTGGGCCGAAGGCAGAGCGACCGAACAGGCAGCCGAGGGGCCAGGCGCGACCAGAGCCACCGACGGGCAAGAGAAACCAACGAAAAACAGCAAAAACAGCTAAGGAGTGGCGGGGCCGACGGGCAACAGAAAATAACCAAAAACAGCCGAAAACAGCCGAGGAGTGGCTGGGCCGACGGCAGAGCGACCGATGAGGCAGCCGAGGGGCCAGGCGCGGCTCTCGGTCGCTCGGCCCCTGGGGCGCTCCTTCCCTGTCTGGTTTTGGTTGTTTTCGGTTGTCTGTCGGTTGTTTCGGATGCTCCTGGCCCCTGGGCTGGCTCTCGGTCGCTCGGCCCTTTGGGAGCCCCTTCCCTGTCTGGATTTGGTTGTGTTCGGTTGTCCGTCGGGTTTTCTGGTCGCCCGTGGCCCTTGGGCTGGCTCTCGGTCGCTCGGCCCCTGGGGTGCCCCTTCCCTGTCTGGTTTTGGTTGTTTGCGGTTGTCTGTCGGTTGTTCTGGTCGTACCTGGCCCCTGGGCTGGCTCTCGGTAGCTCGGCCCCTGGGGGCGCCCCTTCCTTGTTTGGTTGTGGTTGTTTTCGGTTGTCCGTCGGTTGTTCTGGTCGTCCCTGAGTCCTGGGCTGGCTCTCGGCCGCTCGGCCCCTGGGGGTGCCCCTTCCTTGTCTGGTGTTGGTTGTTTTCGGTTGTCTGTCGGTTGTTCTGGTCGCTCCTGGACCCTGGGCTGGCTCTCGGTCGCTCGGCCATTGGGGTGTCCCTTCCGTGTTTGGTTTTTGTTGTTTTCGGTTGGCCGTCGGTTGTTCTGGTCGTCCCTGGCTCCTGGGCTGGCTCTCGGTCGCTCGGCCCCTGGGGCGCCCCGTCCCTGTTTGGTTTTGGCTGTTTTCGGTTGTCCGTCGGTTGTTCTGGTCGCTGCTGGCCCCTGGGCTGGCTCTCGGCCGTTCGGCCCCTTGGGGTGCCCCTTCCCTGTCTGTTTTTTGTTGTTTTCGGTTGTCTGTCGGTTGTTTCGGTCGCCCGTGGCCCCTGGGCTGGCTCTCGGTCGCTCGGCCCCTGGGGGTGCCCCTTCCCTGTCTGGTGTTGGTTGTTTTCGATTGTCTGTCGGTTGTTCTGGTCGTCCCTGGCTCCTGGGCTGACTCTCGGTCGCTCGGCCCCTGGGGGTGTCCCTTCCTTGTTTTGTTTTGGTTGTTTTCAGTTGTCTGTCAGTTGTTTCGGTCGCTCCTGGCCCCTGGGCTGGCTCTCGGTCGCTCGGCCCCTGGGGGTGCCCCTTCCCTGTCTGGTTTTGGTTGTTTTCGGTTGTCCGCGGGTTGTTCTGGTCGTCCCTGGCTCCTGGGCTGGCTCTCGGCCGCTCGGCCCCTGGGGCGCCCCTTCCTTGTCTGGTGTTGGTTGTTTTCGGTTGTCTGTCGGTTGTTCTGGTCGCTCCTGGCCCCTGGGTTGGCTCTCGGTCGCTCGGCCCCTTGGTTGCCCCTTCCTTGTCTGGTGTTGGTTGTTTTCGGTTGTCTGTCGGTCGTTTCGGTCGCTCCTGGCCCCTGGGCTGGCTCTCGGTCGCTCCGCCCTTGGGGGGCCCCTTCCTCGTTTGGTTTTGGTTGTTTTCGGTTGTCTGTCGGTTGTTCTGGTCGCCCCTCGCTCCTGGGCTGGCTCTCGGTCGCTCGGCCCCTGGGGCGCCCCTTCCCTATCTGGTTTTGGTTGTTTTCGGTTGTCTGTCGGTTGTTTCGGTCGCTCCTGGCCCCTGGGCTGGCTCTCGGTCGCTCGGCCCCTGGGGGTGCCCCTTCCCTATGTGGTTTTGGTTGTTTTCGGTTGTCTGTCGGTTGTTCTGGTCGGCCCTGGCTCCTGGGTTGGCTCTCGGTCGCTCGGCCCCTGGGGCGCCCCTTCCCTGTCTGGTTTTGGTTGTTTTCGGTTGTCCGTCGGTTGATCTGGTCGCTCCTGGCCCTTGGGCTGGCTCTCGTCGCTCGGCCCTTGGGGGTGCCCCTTCCTTGTTTGGTTTTGGTTGTTTTCGGTTGTCTGTCGGTTGTTCGGTCGCCGTGGCCCTGGGCTGGCTCTCGGTCGCTCGGCCCCTGGGGTGCCCCTTCCCTGTCTGGTTTGGTTGTTTTCGGTTGTCTGTCGGTTGTCCGGTCGCTCTGGCCCCTGGGCTGCTCTCTGTCGCTCGGCCCCTGGGGCCCCTTCCTTGTCTGGTTTTGGTTGTTTTCGGTTGTCTGTCGGTTGTTCTGGTCTCTCCTGGCCCTGGGCTGGCTCTCGGTCGCTCGGCCCCGGGCGCCCCTTCCTTTTCTGGTTGTGGTGTCTGGTTGCGGTCGCTCGGCCCCTGGGGGTGCCCCTTCCCTGTCTGGTTTTGGTTGTTTTCGGTTGTCCGTCGGTTGTTCTGGTCGTCCCTGGCTCCTGGGCTGGCTCTCGGTCGCTCGGCCCCTGGGGCGCCCCTTCCCTGTCTGGTTTTGGCTGTTTCGGTTCTCCGTCGGTTGTTCTGGTCGCTCCTGGCCCCTGGGCTGGCTCTCGGTCGTTCGGCCCCTGGGGGTGCCCCTTCCTTGTCTGGTTTTGGTTGTTTTCGGTTATCTGTCGGTTGTTTCGGTCGCCCGTGGCCCCTGGGCTGGCTCTCGGTCGCTCGGCCCCTGGGGTGCCCCTTCTCTGTCTGGTTTTGGCTGTTTTCGGTTGTCTGTCGGTTCTTCTGGTCGTCCTTGGCTCCTGGGCTGGCTCTCTGTCGCTCGGCCCCTGTGGCGCCCTTTCCTTGTGTGGTTTTGGTTGTTTTCGGTTGTCCGTCGGTTGTTCTGGTCGCTCCTGTCCCCTGGGTTGTCTCTCGGTCCCTCGGCCCCTGGGGGTGCCCCTTCCTCGTTTGGTTTTGGTTGTTTTCGGTTGTCTGTCGGTTGTTTCGGTCGCTCCTGGCCCCTGGGCTGGCTCTCGGTCGCTCGGGCCCTGGGGGTGCGCCTTCCTTGTCTGGTTTTGGTTGTTTTCGGTTGTCTGTCGATTGTTCTGGTCGCCGTGGCTCCTGGGCTGGCTCTCGGTCGTTCGGCCCCCTCGGGTGTCCCTTCCCTGTCTGGTTTTGGTTTGTTTTCGGTTGTCTGTCGGTTGTTCTGGTCGCTCTGGCCCTGGGGGGGGCCCAGGGGCCGAGCGGACCGAGAGCCAGTCAGGGGCCACGGGCGACCGAGACAACCGACAGACAACCGAAAACAACCAAAACCAAACAAGGAAGGGGCACCCCCAGGGGCCGAGCGGACCGAGAGCCAGCCCAAGGGCCAGGAGCGACCATATCAACCGACGGACAACCGAAAACAACCAAAACCAGACAGGGAAGGGGCGCCCCAGGGGCCGAGCGACCGAGAGCCAACCCAGGAGCCAGGGCCGACCAGAACAACCGACAAACAACCGAAAACAACCAAAACCAGGCAGGGAAGGGGCACCCCAAGGGGCCGAGCGACCGAGAGCCAACCCAGGGGCCAGGAGCGACCAGAACAACCGACGGATAACCGAAAACAACCAAAACCAAACAAGGAAGGGGCACCCCCAAGGGCCGAGCGACCGAGAGCCACCGAGGAACGACCGAAACAACCGACAGACAACCGAAAACAACCAACACCAGACAAGGAAGGGGCACCCCCAAGGGCCGAGCGGCCGAGAGCCAGCCCAGGACTCAGGGACGACCAGAACAACCGACGGACAACCGAAAACAACCACAACCAAACAAGGAAGGGGCGCCCCCCGGGGCCGAGCGACCGAGAGCCAGCCCAGGGGCCAGGTACGACCAGAACAACCGACAGACAACCGAAAACAACCAACACCAGACATGGAAGGGGCGCCCCAGGGGCCGAGCGACCGAGAGCCAGCCCAGGAGCGAGGGACAACCAGAACAACCCACGGACACCCGAAAACAACCAAAACCAGACAGGGAAGGGGCACCCCAGGGGCCGAGCGACCGAGAGCAAGCCCAGGGGCCAGCAGCGACCGAAACAACTGACAAACGCCCGAACAACAACCAAAATCAGACAAGGAAGGGGAACCCCAAGGGGCCGAACGACCGAGAGCCAGCCCAGGGCCCAGGAGCGACCAGAACAACCGACAGACAACCGAAAACAACCAAAACCAGGCCGAAGGGAAAATGAAAAAAACGAACAACCAACAACCAACAACACTCATTTTTAAAACAGCATAAACACCAACGAAAACCAACCAAAGACAATCAACAACAACAACGAAACACAACCAAAACAACCAAAGAAGTATATTAGATTTGCGCCCGCCCCAAAAAATCTAAAAATATCAATTCTTGAAGTAGGAAGGCGCTTAAAGTAGATTGGGATCGGGAAATCCAAAAATACCGACTTTCAACGACCGACGTGTACAGCGCTTCGTGGCCCCATAAGGAGCTCCACCGAAGGTCCCAGTGGCACCGCCCGCATGCGTCCGCCACCACCCAGCACAGCCCTTGCTCCCTGCGTTTCACCAACCCAGTACAGCGTTTCGTGGCCCCATAGGGAGCTCCACGGAAGGTCCCAGTGGCACCGCCCGCATGCGTCCGCCACCACCCAACACGGCCAGTGATCCCTACGTTTCACCCACCCAGTACAACGCTTCGTGGCCTCACAGGGGGCTCCACCGAAGGTCCCAATGGCACCGCTCGCATGCGTCCGCCACTACCCAGCACAGCCCTTGTCCCCTGCGTTTCACCGACCCAGTACAGCGCTTCGTGGCCCCATAGGGAGCTCCACCGGAGGTCCAAGTGGCACCGCCCGCATGCGTCCGCCACCACCCAGCACAGCCCTTGCTCCCTGCGTTTCACCCACCCAGTACTACATTTCGTGGCCCCATAGGGGGCTCCACCGAAGGTCCCAGTGGCACCGACCGCATGCGTCCGCCACCACCCAGTACAGCCATTGCCCCCTTCGTTTCACCCACCCAGTACTACATTTCGTGGCCCCACATGGGGGCTCCACCGAAGGTCCCAGTGGCACCGCCCGCATGCGTCTGCCACCACCAAGCACAGCCCTTGCTCCCTGCGTTTCACCCACCCAGTACAGCGTTTCGTGGCCCCATAAGGGGGCTCCGCCGAAGGTCCCAGTGCCCTTTTCTCCACCCCACATTTCGGTCCCCCCCAACACATAATATGAATAATAATTTTAAGAAGACCGAGCGTACTAATAAACATACGAAGCATATAGTTAAACTCATCTTAATACTGCTAATAATATGAAGAATAATGAAAATACGAATAATAATAATAATACTCATAATATCATTAATAATAATACTAATACCAATAATCATAATAATAATAATAATAATAATAATAATAATAATAATACTAACAATAATAATAAGATTAATAATGCTAATACTATACTAATACGAATACTAAGAATACTAATAATAATTATACTAATAATGAGAAGAAGAAGAAGAAGAATCAGAAGAAGAAGAAGAAGAAGAAGAAAAAGAGAAAGAGAGTAGCCCCCTCACGCATCCCCGAGCCGCTCTGGCGCAACGACTCCAGCGACCTGGGCCGAGCCAGGCTGGGGGTAGCCCCTCGGAGGCCCCTCGGCAGCCCCTCGGCCGCCCTGGGCGGCGGCGGCGGCGAGGCTCGCGCTGCCGCGCCGCCGCCGCGCGCCATCGGCGGAGGGCGGCGCATGGCCGTGGCGCCGCTCGCCCCAGAGGAGTTCGGCGAGCTGGCGGCCGCCGTGTGGCTCAGGCACGCCGTGGGCCGCGGGGGCAGGCCGTGCGCGACGCGCTGGAGAGCGAGACCGCCGCGGAGCGAACGGGCCCCGAGGCTCTGGTCGCGATTCTTTGCGGTGTCGGATTTTTTAGGCAACGTCGGGCCATGGGGATGGGGGGTGGCCTAAATGTGGGGTCGTGGGGTTGTGAGGGTGACCTAAATCTGGGGTGACCTAAATGTGGGGTGACCCAGATGTGGGGACCCTGCTGGCTCCGCATCGGAAGCCACTCTCACATCGCACCCTCGGCCTGGACGCCTCCCGGGCTGCCGCCCCTCGGCACGCCGGCGCTCTGCAGAACGAGGACCCGACGCCACAGGATGGCTGTGAGAATCAAAACCGCTCTCCCCGCGTGCCCGCTCGCCCGGGGGTCTGGGACTGGGCGCCCTCCGGCTCCTGCGGCTCCAGCGGCTCCAGCCAGGACTGCTCCGAGGGGGCGCCAGCCACCGTGGGCTCCCCTCGGGGAGCCAAGAAAGGGCTCCCCCTCCTCCCTCCTCGCTCCTCGTGATCAACAACCCCCCCCACCTCTCCTCCCTCCTCCTCCCCCTCCCCCTCCTCCTCCTCACTCCTCTTTCCCCCTCCTCCTCCTCCTCCTCCTCCTCCTCCTCCTCTCCTCCTCCCCTCCTCCTCCTCCTCCTCCTCCTTCTTCTACTTCTGCTTCTTATTGTTCCTCCCCTCCTTTCCTCCTCCTCCTCCTCTCCTCCTCCTCCTCCTCCTCCTCTCCTCCTCTCCTCCTCCTGGCATTTGGGGGGAAACATCGACCTGGAATGGGCGATACCTCGCCAGCAGATCGGCGATGGGCCTCCGATAGCAAATCCGCACGCTCCCAGGCTGAGTCGGGCTATCGGGCCCCATCTCGGCGATCAGTGGGTGATTGGGGGTCGATGCCCCCCCCTATGCTTATCAGGAGAGCCCAGAATCGAATCGGTAAGTCGGATCGGCGATCGAAATGTATCGGATCTGCGGACATCAGCAGGCGAGTCCAGACCAGTCGAATCGGCGGAAATCGACAGGCTAGCAGGTCTCCATCGAGAATTCGGAGCCCCAAAATTGGAATCCGAAGCCGAATCTCCAAGCGGACTCGGCAACCATCGAAATCGGATCGAACCGAATCGGAGGAATTGGAATGAAGCCTATGCTTACACCCTCTTGCAGGCCTCCGACGTCCTGTTTTCTCATGGCGCCGACCCCCAGAGGTCTCGACCCACTCACTCCCCGGGACCAACTTCTCATCCCGAGTCGTCCTGGGACGGTCCGAGGCCTCGCACGTCCCTGCGGAAGCAACCCGGGAGGTGGCCGCTGCGGGCGTGACCCACATCGAGCGGACAGCCGTGCGCCCTCCACGTACGGGCCGCACATCCGCCCGATACGGACTCAGAGGTGTTGTCATCGGGGAAGCTTCCAACCCAGGGCCGATGCAGCCGGCGCCAGGCGACCAGCGCAGCCTCGGTGGCGGACGCGGCGCGCTACAAGGCGTCCCTGGGGACGTGCCGTCGGGACTCCCCGGTCAGTTCGGGCCCAGTCGGGAGCAGAGGGCGCCAAGGGACGACCCGTACGGGGGGAGCGCTCAACTCGACGTGAGAAACACTTTCATCGACATCGCGAGCGAGCGCCCTGGCCGAAGACAGCTTAGGCGCAACCTCACGGACGGGGACGCGCCACGCGAGCAGGACGCGCAGGAGTCTGTGCCGCCTCTCGCGGCCGGGGATGGCGCCGACCTCCCTTCGAGCGCGAGGGCTATTCGCAACGCTGGGGACGCTGCTCTCATCGAGGACCTCGAGGGGCTCGAGCTCGCCGAAGACACGCGGATGGAGCAAGACATGGGTACTCCGCTGGACGAACTGCGCCGTGCCCGAGCACGTGGCGGCACCGGAAGAGACGGTGCAGGCTCCGCCACCGCGGCAGGCCCAGCAGCGGCAGGCCCTGCAGCTCCCATCCAGGAGGGTTCCGCTCGCAGCCGCTCGCGAGCCCCTGCTGCCGCACACGCAGGCGGAGGAGGAGGCGCAGGAGGAGGAGGAGGAGGAGGAGGAGGAGGAGGAGGAGGAAGAGGAGGAGGAGGAGGAGGAGGAAGAGGAGGAGGAGGAGGAGGAGGAGGAGGAGGGGTCGCCGGCGGCCCAGCAGCCGAAGACGCAGCCCAGGGCGCGCCGGCAGCCGCAGCAGCTCCCGTGCCACCGCCGCCGCAGCCAACTCCCGCCCAGCACTTCTGCCCAGTGCCGGGATGCGTGGCGTCGAGGGGCGGCCGGCGACCTCCATGGCGGCTCTTCCAAGGGTTGAAGGCGCACGTTGACGCCCACCTCCTCGGCCAGCTCCCCGGGCTACCCCCGCAACCGTGGATGGATTCCTACAACATGGTGGCGTGCCGCCTGTGTGGCAGATCGTGCAGCACGCGATGCAACCAAGGCATGCATCGGAACTGCTTGGGCCGGGAGCTGATGGCAGCGCCAGCTGTGCAGCAACCAGGGGTGCAAGAGGACGCCTCAGACGACCTGCCAACTCTAGAAGAGATCATGCTGGCCCCGGTCTCCACGAGGGAGCTCATCGGGGACGGCCTTTTGCCCAGCGTGGAGCGGGAGTTCAACAAATGCGGCGCCAACGTCCTCATGCACTCCCGGGTGGACGCGTGGGACGTTGCAGGCACCAGCGATGACACGCCACAACATGCTCGAGCTCGACAGGCGTGGACCGAGTGGCTTATGTTCCCGAAAACGGTCACGCCAGCGCTCCCAGGAGGGGAAGCGAAAGAGAAGCGGAACCGGAACCTCGTGGCTAACATGGTTGATCGATGGGCCAACGGGGAGCGTCGGGCAGTGTGGGACGAAGTCCTAAAGCTCACGCAGCGCCGGGACAAAAAGCAGAGCGGCCAGCCAGCAAGCGAGGAAGAGCAAAAAGAGCGGAAGCAACAAGAGGTTATGGCCCTCGCCCGCCGGGGGCTGCCTGGCAAAGCTGTGACACACGCTTCGAGCAGAGGACTGGCACCAGACTCGCAGCAGACGGAAGATACCATGCGCTCCAAGTTCCCGGCCGCGCCAGCCTCTCAGCGCGGCTCTCAACGCCCGCCGGCGCCGCCGGCCAACGAACTGACTGATGAAGGAGTGGCGGCAGCAATCCGGAGCTTCAGCAGAGGCGCGGCGCCAGGCCCATCCGGCCGCAGACCCGACTTCTACAAGCAGGTGGTGGGGGAGAAGGGCGACAAACCGGGTTGCGCCATCCTGTCGGGCATTTGCAATTTACTTGCAGACGGACGGGCCCCGAAACAGCTGCGGGCTTACCTCGGAGGCGCCCGGGGCACGGCTTTGCGGAAGACGGCGAAGGACGGCAGCGATGATGCCAGGCCAGTGTGCTCTGGGGAGACCATCCGCAGAGTGGTAGGCAAGGCGCTGCTGGCCACGGAGCTCAACGCGCTCCGGGCTCATCTGCAGCCTCTCCAGCTGGCCGTGGGCGTCCGTGCCGGGGCGGAGGTGATGCCGCACATGGCGCGGCAGTGGCGTGACGAGTACAAGGGGGACGTAGACCGCATCATGTTGAACAGCGACCAGGCCAACGCCCACAACGAGGTGGACAGACACACCTTTCTGACCAGGATGCGCGAAGTGGCCCCTGGACTCGTGCGGTGGCTCGAGTACATCTACCCCACAGAGACACCCACTCTGGTGTTCTACAGAGGGAGGACCATTCACAGCACGTCGGGGGGGCAGCAAGGATGCCCGCTCATCGGGGCATGCCACGCACTGGTCCAGAGGATGTTGAACGAGTCGCTCGGGTTGGTCCCCGTGCCGGTCGGCACGGCAGTGTACTGGACCCCCCAGTCGCTCTCGACATGGCCCCTGGCTTCGCCGACGACGCACTCATCGCCGGGCCTTCTGTAGAGGTGCTCCGAGCTCTCAAACACCTCAAAGCTGTGATGCCAGGGACAGGCCTTCGCTTCTCCGCCTTGCAGGTGATCCCGGCCGCCGGGACACGGAGCACGGTTGACTTCGCAGAGTTCGTGTCCTTAGGGTGCGACGTCTTTGCAGATGGGAACTGCGAGGTGCTCAAGTCCCCAGTGGGCGACGACGCGCACTGCCGGGCCTTCTGCGCGAAGCAGGTGCAGAAGCAGCAGGGCATCATCCAGTTCCTGGCAGACCTCCAGGACCCGCAGGTGACGCACTACTTGTTGGCACACAGCGTGAACGCGGGCTGGATGAACTATCTGGCGCGCACCACGCCGGCCAGGCATCTGGGCGACGAGGCGCGGCGCTACGACGAGTGCGTGCTCGAGGCGGCAGCTGCTGCTGTGAACCAGCGCTGGTTTGACAGGCAGCGCGAGCAGGCTTCCTTCAAGGCCTCGGCTGGCGGCCTCGGCCTGCGCAAAATCTCTGTCGAGATGGATGCGACCTACGTCGGCTCGCGCGCGCTGACACACGACCTGTGCGCGATGATCCGGCCAGGCCACCAGTGGGACGACGACGTCGCGGGTGCCCCGCTGGCGGACGCGGTGTCCAGGATCACGGCCTCCGCCGGGGCCGAGATCTTCGCAGTCGAGTCACGGGATGCCTTGACCCAGACGCACCTCGGGGACGCGCTCCGGAAGAAAGCGGTGGTCGCGTGGAGAGACGCAGGGCCGCCGGCAGACGGAACGCGGCTGAACGCGTACTCTGCGCAAGGAGCGGGCGCCTTGTACGAGCTCACCCCATCCAAGACACTTGACATGCAACTCACTGCGAGCCAGTTTGCCGACAACGTCGCGCTCCGGCTCGGTGTCGATGTCTTGGATGCGGGGTCCACCTGTCCTTTGTGCGGGGTTGCCTTGGACGCTCAGGGAATCCACTGCCTCTCCTGCATGGGGGGCCCTGAAACCACGGGCACTCACAACGGCATTCGCGACGTCCTCTACGACTACGCGTGCCGAGGCGGACTGCGACCGCAGTCCGAGGTCCCAGGCTTGCTGCAGGAGGGCCCAGAGGCGCCGCCAGACCAGCGCAGGCCAGCCGACGTCCTCGTGATCCCACACTTGGCATTGGCGACGCACCTTCCCGACGGCAGCCGTGCGGTCCGGGCAGAAAAGGTGTGCTTTGACTTCGCGGTCATCAACGCGCTGGGGCCGGGCCATTGGGCGGACACCGCACTGGCCGCCGGGCTCCCGTCCGAGACCTACGACGAGGAGAAACGGAGGCGGGGCCGGACCGAGGAGAGGTGCCGCGCACAGGGCCTGGCCTTCCGGCCCGTTGTCCTCGAGCAGCAGGGCGGCATGAGCAAGGGCGCGGACGCGGCCTTCCGGGCCGTCGCAGCAGCGGCAGCCGGGAAGGAGGGGCGGGAGCAGTCAACCGTGCGCCGGGAGATGCTCCAGCGCGTGGCGATCCTACTCGCCCGGGGCTGCGCTGCGCGGATCGAGCGTCGGCGGGCCAGAGCCCGCGCAGGGCGAGCTGCGTGGGCGGCGACTGCGGCGGCTGTCGCGCGCGAGCCGGCGCACGAGGACGGTGAGTGAGACGCCGCGCAGCCGCACCCTAGCGGGCTGGCGGCCGCGTGACCTGTGTCGCCCTGTCGCACGGGTGCTCTTCTTGGCCCGCTTTCTCTCTTGCCTTGGCTTCGGCTCTCGGTTCCTCACCCTCTCCTCTTCCTTCCTCCCCGTGCTCCCCCCCCGTGCCCTTGTGCTCTCTCGCCCTTGTGTTGCTTCCTTGCCCTTGTGTGTGCTGTGCTCTCCCTTTCTCTCCCCCTGCTTGGCTCCCCCTCCCCGTCCCCCCGTCCCTCCGTCCGTCGGCCCGGTCTGCCCTTTCCGGTCGCCCCCCCTCCCTCTCCCCCCCTCGCTCCTCGGCTCCTCGCTCTCCGGCCCGTTCCTGTTCCTTTCTTGGCTCGCTTTTCTTTGTCGGCCCGCCCTGTGGTCCGAATAAGAGTTGCGGCGGCCCGCACTGCCACGCTGACGGACCCCCCCCTCCCTCTGGCTTTTGGCCGGGGCGGCGGGGCAGGACAGGCGACGGGTACTTAGTACACGCTGTCGCCACTGAATTCAATGACCGGGTTGTTAGAGCCCCCAGAGACCAAGAGCAGCGGAAAACCGACCGTCGCGCTGTTCTCATGATGCGGGGGGGTCTGGGATCGCTGCCCCTGGCTCCGACTCTCCCTGCAGTCCTATAGGCTCACCACGACGTGTCAGGCCTACCACGACATGTTCTTAGAGCGCGAGGATGTTCGAATACCAACAATCTTCTTAGAACAGCGACTGGTTGAAACAAGATAGCCCTGGCCAGAGAACATTTCGCGCAAGCTACAGAAGGTTCCCAGGACATTCTTTGGTGGGCCTACAAGCAAGCCAAGACTCTTCGCCACTGCTTCCAGACATCTGGCCACTCGGATATTTTCGATGCGTGAGACTGGGAGGTTTGGACCACTTCCCTGGGGCCTGTGGGAAGGAGGGAGGGAGGGAGGGAGGAGGGAGGGAGGAGGGACGGAGGGAGGGAAGGAGGGACGGAGGGAGGAGGAGGAAGGGAGGAGGAGGAGGGGGGAGGGAGGAGAGAGGAGGGATGAAGGAGGAGGGGAGGAGGGAAGGGGAGAGGGTGATGGAGGAGGGAAGGAGGAGGAGGAGAGTTCGACGCCATCGACGCTATGTACTGACGGGGAGGAGCGGAGCAGAGGATGGAGGGAGGCGGTGGAGGAGGAGCAAGAAGAGGAGGGCTCACGCCATCTTGACTCCCCGGTCTCCCGCGCGGTCGACGGCGGGGGGCGGCTCTGCCGCGGCGGCGGCACCCCCGTGCACGCGCGACGCCTCCGCGCGCAGCAGGCGCTCCCACCGCCGCCTTCGCGAATCCTCTCTCGGAGGCGGGCGTGGGGGGCGAGGCAGCGGCGGCCCACCCCAGCGTTCTTGCGTCTTTCTGGGGGTCCCGTCGCCCTCCCTCCCTCCCTCTCCCTCCCTCCTTCCCTCCCTCCTCTCCCGCTCTCTCTCCCTTCCTCTGTCTCTCTCTCTCTCTCTCCTTCTCTCTCTCTCTCTCTCTCTCTCTCTCTTTTTTTTTCTCTCTCTCTCTCTCTCTTTCTCTCTCTCTCAGTTCTTTTCTCTCTCTCTCTCCTCTACGCATCCCCCTCTCCTCCTCCCCCATGGAGGGGGGGGGGGTCCTCCTCCTCCTCCTCCGCCTACCTCCTCCTTCCGCCACTTAATTTTTCTGCACTCCATCCTCCTCCTCCTCTTCCTCTTCCTCATTCTTCCTCCCCTAATCCTCCTTTCCCTCCGCCTCCTCCGCCTTTCCCTCCGTTGTGAGGTGGAGGTGGGGGGGGGGGGGGGGGGGGGGGGGGGAGGGAAGCTCGCCAGGAACCCGAGTCCTCACCGGGAGGGCTCGTTATGTTTGGGCCTCCTGGAGGCGTCTCGTCGGCCGTGCGACATGCGATATGCTACCCAGACCCCCCTCGAGCCATGCAGACATCACACGAACGACAATTGTTCGTTGGTTTCGGCCTGTGGGGACCTAACCAGGCCTCGGGGCCGTCAAAAAACTTCGCGGCCAGTATTTGATATTGCTTTTTGACAAACTCTGCGCTTGCACATGGAAGGCGTGCGCCACACACGCCGCCAGGCTCAGTGCACTGCGGGTTTTTCAACGCATGTTCGAGTTTTTATCTGTCTGTGGCACTGTCAGCAGGACAATGTATGGATACAAACGACGTGAGATGTATCTTGCTTTTTTGTCGCACGTGCGTTGGCAATCCCACGAATAAGGACCATGGATGGTGTAACTGGCCCGCAGAATAAACCACGTCGCCACGGCTGGATCCGCCCCGAATGCTGGGTCAGGAGGAGCCCCAGAGCGGGTCTGGAAGCCGATTCTGCACGGATCTGGGCCGGGCGGGAGAGCCGCCCAGGGAGGAGGAATGGGGAGGAAGAGGAGGAGGAGGAGGAGGAGGAGGAGGAGGAGGAGGACGAGGAGGAGGAGGAGGACCCCCCGCTTTTTACTCGACGAGGGAGCCCAATGCCAGTGGAAAGAGTGCGGTACATAGCTGGCGAGCTGTCGCAAGACCGTCACACTGTCCCATACTAGGGTCCGTCACGCAGGCCTGGGGCGAGCGCCACCCGCGCTGCAACGCGGGAAGCTGGCAGTGGCAAGCCGCGGTCGTTGGGCACTCTTGGAATGCCCGTGTCACATGCTTTCACACAGGTGCAGCGGTGTTGATCGGATCGACCTGTTCGCCCACGAGAATAGCCCGCGAGAAAGAAATAACAACGCGCCCCCGTTAGCCGAAGAGGAACTCAGCCGCCTCTTCCTCAGCTTCATGCCATTGCTCATCTGGCCCGCCGTCACTTGCTCTGCCCGAAGGCAGACCGCCTTTAACAACAGAGGTCGGAAGTTGGGGGGTGACATCGCGTTGGAACGGAGACCCCCAAACGGGAAATCGTTTGGTTTCGCTCGTGTCGTGCGTGCGGGCAAGGCGGAGCTGCGTGGGCGCGCGAGAGGAATGAACCCGCAGCTGCTAGGGCGAAGTCGAAACAAATGATTCTCCCCCGCCCGTCCGGCGGTGGCTCGCGGTGCCCCGCGGTGTCCCGTAGTGTCCCATGGTGTCCTGTGGTGTCCGCCGTTTCTGGGGCGAAATCGAAACAAATGATTCTCCCCCGCTCGTCCAGCGGTGGCTCGCGGTGGCTCGCGGTGTCCCGCGGTGTCCCGTGGTGTCCGCCGCTGCTAGGGCCAAGTCAAGACAAATGATTATCCCCCGCCCGCCCGTCAGGCGGTGTCTCGTGGTGTCCCGCGGTGTCCCGTGGTGTCCCGTTGAGTGAGATCGATCGTGAGATCGATAGCGAAATCGACAATGAGACCGATAGTGAAATCGAGGTGTCCCGCGGTGTCGCGTGGTGTCCCGTTGAATGAGATCGAGAGTGAGATAGACAGTGAGATCGACAAATGTGGAGGATAACGACACAGGTCGGGGAGGCTGCTGTACCGTGCCGTCCACGGTCTCACCTCGCAGGAAAGGGACAGGGCGTCGGTTCAACTCTTCTGCAGGACGTCCAACCAAGACGCGACCTCGTCCTCCAGCCTGCCCGCTGGCATCACTCCTGTGAACCTCAACGCGATCCCCTCCGCCTTGAAGGCGTGGGTGATGGTGCCGCGGAGCGGCCAATGGGGGGTTGCAATCAGCAGCTTGGCCTTGTTCTCGTCGTGGGACTGCTCGTTCTTGATAGCCTGCACGCCCAGCCCCAGCAGCTCGCAATCGACGACGGACTGGCCGCCCGTGGGGGGCTCGATCTTGTCCAGGTACTCGTTGAGCAATTTGTTCATCTGGCCGCCCGCGTCGCAGGCGGACAACGTCTCCACCAACGTGACCGCCAGCGAGGCAGTCGGTCTTCCAACCGCGCGAAGCTGATCAGCTCCTGCCTCGCGTGCGGCCTGCACGTGCTTGCGGTAGTCCTCGAGCGTCACCTGGAGCTTGGCAATGACGGGGTGGTCTTTCGGCATCGTGAACATGTCCACCATCGTCGCCATCGTGAGGCGCTGCCGCTGCGCGGTCGCTAGTGAAAGCTTGGCTACTATGGCGGCCAAGCACTGCTGGACATTCGCATCCTTGCTCGTCCAGTTCTTCTCTGTGTGGCCTCCGCGTCGGCGTCGGCGACCGCCGCGATGGCGTCCCTTGCCACCCTTCCCGTCGCCCTTCGAGGCGAGCATGGCCTCCATCGTGTCGTTCACGCCCTCCATGGCCGCGTCTCCGTCCTTGTCGCCTTTCCGGCCCTTCTTGGGATCGGGCGGCCTGGAGCCGTCGCCAGAGTGCCCAGACGCCTGGGAGGATGCCGCTGGGGCAAGGGGTCCTCTACTTCGCCCTCGGCCTGGGGGGGGGACTGGCCCGTCCGCCGCCGGCCTCGCCGCTGCCGTCATCTTGTGCAGGTGGTACTTGCTGTCCAGGCAGTGCTGGCCGAGGTCGCAGTAGTGGGATGCTCGCGGCTGTTGCCCGCGATGTCGCCGACGTAGCTGGCCACGAAGAAGAGGGTTAGTGAGGTCGAGCTGCTGCCCGTCGTCGAACTGGTGGTCCCTCGCGCGCCCGTCGCCTCTTGAGTCGCTCTTCAGCAGGCCGAACGCATCATGCTCGTAACTCTTCACGAAGACCTGGGGTGTCGTGCGCGTCGCCGAAGCTCGGCGGCGGCTCGACCTGCCTGACGGCCGGCGCCGGCGGTGGCGCGGGCACTGTGCGCTGGCTGAGTATGAGCGACTTTGAGCCTAAACCCTACTGACGTGGGTGGGGTGTGGGTCGCCAGATGGGCCAGCAACTCTGCTGGGTCGTCGTAGTGTTCTTGGCACTCTGGTCTATCCGTCTCATCAGCCAGCTGGCATCGAGTTTCAGAAGACTGTGCCCATTCATACATGTGGCGAGTGAGATTCGGAATGCACTTGCCTGCGCTCCACGCTCCACTGATGTGTCTCCGCGTGTGATCCACGTTGCCGAAAAGCGTCTGACAGCTAAGACATTTATGGTCGAGAGTGATGACTGACAAAATCGGCGGGGTGCTGTGACCTGGGAATTTCGTAACCTGAATATGCTTTTTGACCAGCTCCCTATTGGCGGTGCACGCTTGGCCTCGTCACTTCCAGTGTCCCCCATCTCCTCCTCCTCATCATCCGGTAATGGTTCCCATTCGCGGGCCTGGATCGTCGTCCCCACCACTAGAAAATCACAATATCTTTAAGCCTCGGTGACCTCAGGGTTCCCGAAAAAGTTGGCCATGGTGCGGGGTTGCCGCAGGACCGCGTTCAAGTCCTGGTAAAACTGCTGTAGGGCCCAGGGGTGGACGTGCTGAGACGGGTTAAGTTCCCCCATCGACAAGAGCGTGACATCTGCAACCTCGTCCCCCGCATCATTAGCACGTCGCTCAAACCGGCATTCTCCGAAAAAACGTCCAATGAATGTCTGTGGTGTTCGGGGTTCCCTGCGATAGACTGCCACCATCTCAGACGACGTATCATCAACTCAATGCCGCTAGGGGATCTGCCATTCCTAAAAAAAATGCTTGGTTGTCCAAGACGTGTGCGCGCCGTCCTCGTGCTCAACATGCGCGCGCCTGTGCAACGCACGTAGCTTGCATCTTCTTGGCTAGAGATCTGTCGGTGTCCGTAAGCTCGTTCGGGGAAAGCGCGTGCGCTTCGAGGCCCGACCACACTCGCCCTGCTACGTTTGCTAGAACAGTACTGAGCATGCTTCTCCAGGGCCCCGAAGAGAACCAACAGAGTCGAATCTTGCTCCACCCAATAGAGCCTGCTCTGATGCGTGCACTGATCTCCCTCTTGTTACTGCACTGCACGCGAATAAACCCGCCCAGGTGGAGACGATTAGTCATGGAGCGCCCTGCAATCTGAACCTCAGCCTCCTTAGCGTCCTTAGACGTGGCTGGGTGGACGACGGTTTCCTGTTTGTCGACCTGTTGCGCGTAGCCGAGGAGGAGGAGGAGGAGGAGGAGGAGGAGGAGGAGAAGTAGGAGGAGGAGGAGGAGGAGGAGGAGGAGGAGGAGGAAGAGGAGGAGGAGGAGGAGGAGGTAGACAGAGGAGGAGGGGGAAGGGAGGAAGAGGGAGGAAGGGAGGAGGGAGGAGGGAGGAGGGAGAAGGGAGAAGGGAGGAGGGAGGAGGGAGGAGGAGGACGAGGAGGAGAAGGAGGAGGAGGGACAGAGGAACAGACCGAGCGCACCCAGGTGCGTTGTTCGGGCGATGCCAAGTGCATTCTAGCCCTGATTATGAGCGGCGCTTGCAGCGGCAGGCGCAGAGGCAGCTGAAATTTCTTCCACGGCCATGCCGCGGGTGGCTGCGCGCAGAAACTTGGTGAGGCCATCGCGCCCAGCGTGGGCGCGC